TTATGAGAACCGTCAAAGTAAGATTGTTTACAGTTATGTTTTAATTTTTATGAATAGTTTGTGATATTGTGCGAATGTTCGATAATTATTTTTTTCTAGGTGCAGTGGTAGAAGATTTTGGCTTTGGTAGATGTGTTATACTATACCATACTGTAAATTTAATGAACCAAACTTTATGAAACTGTGCCCTCCCCCATTGCAAACGCAAAGCTTGAGTATAACTGCCAAGCATTTTATACTTATATGCCAACCCCGTACGAAGGACGTGTGCTCTGCTAGTTAATAATGATTTGAACTAAAAGTAATTAATATCTGCATGAATGCGTAAGTTATTGTTGAGCTGAACAGATAATTTAACTGTAAGTGGTTGAATAAATAAACGTATTTAATAGGCCTACTCTAAACATTTGTGTTGATAGTTAAATAGGTAAAATACTAACTCAGTTGTGAAAATCCACGGCATTCAATAAAGAACAGTCTCAGTAATCAAATAACTAATTTATAGTTCAAACAAATGAAAATGCGGAACAGATAGTTTTAAGCCGCCTTTACACCTAAGTTTACACCTATCATTAGTTCCTTTGTTTGGTAAAATTATGGAGCGTATTATCTATAACCAAATGTGTTTCTTCCTAGCAAGTAATAATATTCTTAGCGAGACTCAATTTGGTTTTCGTAAAAAGTTATCCACAATAGATGCAATTGAGTCTATGTTGTTCAAAATTATTAAAGCTTTTGAAGACGGGAGCTTTGCTCAGATTACTGCTTGTGATCTGAGCAAGGCATTCGATCTTGTAGATCACTCTGTGTTATTAGATAAATTAAGTTTTTACGGCATTAGGGGTTCGGGTTTGAAGTTTTTTGAATCATACTTGCATGGAAGATCTCAGTTTGTAGAGTTGAAGGGTGATCGTTCAAGATGTCTGGATGTAATAATGGGAGTACCACAGGGTTCTATCTTGGGGCCTTTATTATTCCTTTTATCAATTAATGACCTACCTGCCAATGTGTCCCTTTCTTCAACTACAATGTTTGCAGACGACACAACCTTTCTTAGTATAAGCAATGATACAAATGTCTTGTCTAATATTGCCAAAAATACTATTTTAGAAGCCAAGCAATGGTTTAGTGCTAATGGTTTGATTATTAATGAGAATAAAACTCAACACTTACTCTGTCAGACTAGAAATAGAGTCGATGATTACAATGAACCAAATGACATAAAAATTTTAGGTTTAGTGATTGACAACTGTTTGACCTGGTCTCAACACATTGATTTCATTAGTGGTAAGTTGTCTAGGTGTATTTATCTTCTTAATTGTCTTAGCTCTAGTCTGCCTCAGAATTATTTAAAGTCTGTGTATTATGCTTTTTTTCACTCAATTTTAAGTTATGGTATTTTGTTATGGGGTAATAGTACCCATGTAAATAATGTATTGTTAATTCAAAAGAAGGCTGTGAGAATCATAACTAGATCTCGCCGAAGAGCACATTGTAAACCGTTATTTGTGGGCACTGGCATATTAACTGTCATTAATGTTTTTATCCTGCATTGTCTGATTAATGTTAAGAAAAAGGAAAAAGAGTATGATTTGCGCCAAGACATTCATGGTTATAACACAAGGAATAGGGGTCTAGTTGATGTACCTCACTGTAGGCTACAGAAAACTGCAAACAGTCATTTTGTTTTAGGTATTAAATTATTTAATAAGCTTCATCCCCAAGTCAAGTCCTTGCCGTTAAGTGTCTTTAAAAGAAAATTAACTATGTGGCTTTCATCTCACCCATTTTACAAAATTGAGGAATTTTTTGAAGGTGATCTCATTTTTTGCTAATGTTAAATGCTTTTAAGTTAGGCTAGGATTTTTATTACTGTAATTAATTTTCATATTTTTCATGTTCACTATTTTGATATGTTTTTTACCATATTCCATCTGTGATAATGTAGAAATTTTGTTTTAAGTTAGGCTAGGATTTTTATTACTGTAATTAATTTTCATATATTTCATGTTCACTATTTTGATATGTTTTTTTTACCATATTCCATCTGTGATAATGTTAGTAATTTTGTCCCTCTATGTTCATTGTACACCTGTGATAACCATTAGCCTTTTTAAGAAAGACCCACTATTATTCATAATTTAAGTTTGTTAAGTTTGCCTATTTTTAAAAAATTATTTTAAACCTGTTAAATGTTCAATAAGGGCAGCCTATATTTTGGAATTTTCATGTCAAATTTTAATAATTATAAGTATTGCATCTTATATCTTTTACAATAATAATGACGATGTCAATTACAATAATGTATTGTTTAAAGACTGAATAAATGACTATTCTATTGACTATTCTATTTGAAACACGAGTTGCAAACATCTCTAAAAACGCACATTTTTAGACGAAACATTTCACTGTTGCAAACAGTTTTTCAGTGTTTGCAACAGAAATTTTTGTTTCCACCTGAAGTCGGTAAAGATCAAAGCGAGTTGCAAACTTTTATTTGCAACACTGGTTTCGGTTACTATGTGCCGTTGAAGCACGAAACAGAAATATTTCCCCGCCATCCCCTATGCTGCCACCTCCACTCTCACTTACTTGATCACTCGCACCACCCTGTGTCTCAACTCAAGTGTCATAAAAATATCTGGACTGCTAGTAGTTCTCTCGTGCGTATTGTGAGTGATCAGTGGTGAGTGTCAATGGAAAATTTACTGAATGAGATGGAGTGGGTAGATGACAATATTCTAAAGTTAATTATTGAGCAGAGAGCAGCAAGTCCTGTGGAACCAAACTATTTTCAATTACAAAAATAAAAACATGAACAACTAGGTATGGAATGACATTTCATTCAAAATGACATCCTCGGAAGGACTGATCCCAGGAACCAGAACATAGGCAAGTCATAATCAAGGTCGAAAGTGTTTAAAAAATTTTCATGAAACATGGAAATAAAACCATGAAATAAAAATTGCAAACTTTTATTTGAAACTACTGTTTGCAACTGCTGTTTGCAATAAAAGTTTGCAACTTTTTGTTTGAAACTTAATGAAAACGTGGAACGGGTGGTTTTATCGATAGACAAGATAGTTGATTTGTTTGTTTCTATTGGATAGTTCCCATCACAAATTTTGTGGTTTGAGTCATACATTCAGCGCTATTTATATTGCATCAATCTGTATTTCATAGTTAATAAGTAAATTAAAGAACTGTATATATTAAATTAAATAATCCTGTAACTTTTAACTATTGTTAATGTTATTATTAATCAACCTCAGATAAGGGAAGGATGGTATTAAATTAAGGTAGTGTAATAATTTGGTTGAGTCCAAATAAACCATTTCATTGATCCAGTCCTTATTAAGCTTGCCTTCTGTCTTCTGCTTGAAGATGGTGGAGCAAATGCAGTAGATGCTTGCACCACTATATCAGCTAACAATAGTGACAACAACTTAACCAACTAACACTGAAATAATCAATAATCATCCTACAGCCTACTATTGATAATATTTTATGATAAATATGCCCTTTCAAATAGCCTTAAGTGAAAAATAATCAACATGGTTGACAATTTGAATTTTGTAAATGAGTAGATAAAAAAATAACCAATTAACTTCGTACCAAAGGTATCGGTATCGATCAATTCTCGCTCCCAGTACTTTTACCAAGAACCGACATTTGACGTTAAGTACGGACCCATCACTATTGAAGTCTAAGATGAAATCCACCAGACTGTACAAAACCGGAGTCTGGATTGTTTTTTACTACCATCCATTATTTGTCGAGGTAGTGTGATGTTCGCGTCACAGCAGAGCCGTGTCATACCGTAAATCAGCTGACCGCTGAAGAACTTGGGGAGGGGGTAGGAAAGGCCGTGAGAGAGGCAGTTGCGTGCTGGAGTCTACCGGAGCTGTTCCACGCTGGTCGTCGGTCTACTATTCGGATCATCTTTATAATTAATTATTCATAATGTTTTAAATTTTTAAGAAAGGTGGGGGAATAAGGGGTTAGGGAACTATTAACTATATCTACTTATTATGTGAATTAAACCTTTCAGCACACTCGTGCCCTTAAGGAGCGAGTGGAAGTTTTACTTGTATATTCAATCAGATGTGTTAGAAATATTAGATCATCAAAATGGCTGTGATAAGGATGTGGTTTGGCTCAGTAATTAATTAAGTTTATTATTATTCATCTTAGAATGTCGCACACATCAATAAATTAATTATTTTGAGCCTTAACGATCCTTATGAGTACGATAAAAAATAGTAGACGCTTCAATAGCAGTAGTGTCAAAGTTATTCAGCCAAAGGAGAATAGCTTTCCTTGATGGCAGGGGAGCCTGTGGTGGTAGACTGAACTCAAGTTGGAAAGCGTGCTGAACACAAACCACATTATCCATGTTTTTGTAATATACCTTTACAGCCTGAGACTGTTTTCGAAAATAATTATGTTTAAGGTAAAACATTAATTTTCACTCATGTTCTTAAAATTTATATTAAAACAATTATCCTTAAAAAAAAAAAAAAATTATTTGTGATTTTTCCAAAATCGTGCTTTATGCTACGTTTTACTGCTGTTTGTTTTGCTTGACATTATTTCCGAGCCAACAATAATGAATGATGCTACCTAACAAAAGGTCAACCTTAGATTGATAGGGCCAGGTTTGGACCATTCTCATAAAAAAATTATATAATGCCAATGGCATCGAAAAGCACAACACATTGAACACACATTACAATAGACTTCAGATTTTAGGTTACAATGAGAAGTCTTCTCAAACTATAAATTGACGTTTCTCACAAAACGTTAAAAATAAAACGTTGGTACATTAGGGGCTTGTCCTTGTGAAGCTTGATGGTGGTTCTATGTGAACTTAAACTATTTACCAGTAGAACTACAAAGGATTACCGAGAATTAAGGTACCTGGACCAATAATAATGAGAATTAATTAAACTAGATAGGTAGGCCTAATCAGGAAATTGCCTAATAAAAGTAAAAACAAATATAAGAAAAATCTAGTTTATTTACTAGCATAACAAGTTATGTCCTAACCATTTGTTTCTGCTCCTTGTGAGTTTTCTTTTCCTCTATTGTTCTTCTCTTCTTCATTAGTATCTTCTTATCCCTTGTCCTATCTCTCCTTCCCTTCATCATGCTTTGGTACAACTTGCGGTGTTTCTTATGGATCATCTTCTCTCTCAGCTTGTACTCCTGGTATTCCTCTTTCCTCAACTCTGCAGGATCCACCTTCTCTGGTTTGCCTGTGCTCACCATCATGCCAGCTCGCTAGGTAACAGCAAAATAAACATCAGCTAGTATGTATAGAAAAAACCTAACCTAAGGGGTTACTTTTGTAAACCTTTGGTGTGTTTTCCTCATTGTTAGGTCTTATTATTTTCTATTGACTTGAATGAGTGGACAGACACACCTAAACAAACTTTATACTGAATTTTGTGTGGAATTACTTCTATGACTACTATCCCTCATTAAAACGTTTAGTAAACCTAATCCTTTTGCCACAAACCTGGATACTTGGCATGGAAATTTGGCAACAGCAATTTCTACTTGGTTCTATGAATTTTTATTCAAACAGTTCCAAAGACAGTGAGAAAAGAAAATGATATGGGAATAACATTAATTATAACTAGCAGCCAGTGTCACTTCGTGACTTCAAAATCCGTGCCTCAGTTATGTTGAAATTATCTACTTTTTATGTGATAATCATTAACTTATCACTGACTTGTAATATTTTTACGACTACAATTTAAGTACAATTCCCGGTTTTCCCGGATTTCCCTGGTAGACACCCTGTTCTATAAATTTGTCCATTGTTTACCTTGGCTTTTCGAATCATATCCTTCTCATTATCTTCTTCTTTTTCTGATTCTTCCTCCACATCCTCTTCTGCATCAGAGCTGCTATCCACTGTTGTGTCTGCTAGCATAGTTTTTTCTTCCTTCTCTTCTTCATTTTCTGATTCTTCTCCATCTTCTAAATTTTGAGAAAAATACAAGCTTTTTTATAACATACACAGAGTGAGTTAAAATACCTCCCTGAAGAAATGTTTTAAGTAACTTCTGTGTGATAAAACTTCCCTTGTTATATATACTGGTGACTACATTTTTATCTGCCACCTTAGAAAGATCTACTATAATTATATTTTAGGGAATTATTTTGGAATTATTTTCGGAGTTATGAGATTCAAAAGTTAAATTTTGTCATCCATGAAAAGAATATGGAGCAAACTTTGAACAACTTTATTGCAATACTTTATTTTTGATTTTAAAAGAAAATTTAAAAGGAAAGATAATGTTCTGCATTAAGTGTTGAAGTGCAGAAGTTATTTTCGATCTGTTCACGCAACGGTAGTAAAATGTAAGTAAGTTTTATAACATTTTCTCCTGGTGTAGTGATGAACGAGTCTGGTTTTAAGTTCGAGACGAGATTCTATTTTCCCATCATAATTCAAGACAAGATCTAGACGGGATTACAGATCTCATTACTATCGGGAATTATTTGTTTGCGCAGTTTTACAATGGTTAATAAATAACAATATGGAACTATTAAATCAACAACTAAAGTACAATAACTAATTAATTATTAAAACAAATTATCTTATTACAAAGGTATATGATATAAAAAGAGTGTACAAAACACAAAAGCCTACAGAAACTTAAATAGTTATAAAAATCTTAAATAATAAAAAAACATTAAAATAAGACATCTTTAATCCTCTATCTAGCGCTGGACGATTTTCGACCACTAAAACGCAAGTTCTCAGCTGGTCGATTATCGACCAAGACGACATGGGTCAAGTTTTTCTATTATTAAAATATAAAAACCGTTTTAAAACCCAATAATTCTTATACCATTAGAAAGATGAGATTCTGAGGATTCATTTTCATGCATAAAACATTATTGAGTGAGTATTATGTAGCAAGAAACATAGTTTGAAAAACTATAGAGTTCAAAATAGATTTTGGCAGTGGAAAGTTTTAGTCACCTCACTACAAAATACCCCCGCCGCAGCAAACCTGCCGACTAAGCGAATTTCCATTTGTCTGAATTGATTTTCAGTTAAATACATTTTAACAAGGAAACTAATAAAGTGTGTTTTTGAGTAAAATATTGATAGCTTAGTACAAAATAAATAAATTTGCCAAGTTTGATCAAAATATATCCATAAACAAGCAAACTACAACATTTGACAATATTCTCTATAAGAATAACATGGGAATTTTAAATTTACAATTTTTTTAATTTTCTCCGTTACTAATAATCGAACAAAAATACTTTTATATACTAAATTATTTGTTTTTTTAAGCTCTTTAAAAAGGTCTAAAGAGAAATCGGGAAATTTTGTGTTTTGAGGGTCAAAAGTGAGAAAAACCAATTTTTACCCCATAAAACCCCCCATAAAGCCCCGTTCCCATGGTCCGATCGTGCTGGTTCGCAAACTCATTCAAGTTTATCCCGCTTTACACCTTTAAACCAAATTTCATCAAAATCGGAAAAAAATTACTCAAGTTATCGCGTTCACGGACGTATATATATATATATATATATACATATATACATATATAAAAATTTGAACGAATGGTGTTTTTGGCCTCTGGGGACATCAAAATGAAAAAGTAAATCGGTCCCGGGTCTAGGTCTTACCGTGCCACCTACGGTAATAGCTACTTCCCTATAGGGAAATTCGCTAAAAGCAGTTTTTTGCGATTGTCGATTAAATTGTATACAATATTAGAACTTATTCTGAAACTACAATAAATTCCCTACAATTCCCTTTGAATCTATGAGGTTGATTGTAAAAATTTTAATTTGGTTTTAAAAATGTCATAAAAATTATGTTTTTGTAAAAAAATCTTCAAACTTTTTCATTCCAACGTAAATTACTCAGAAATGTTAGAATTCAAATACATATAACTATATATTTTCAGAAAGATCTTTTATTTCCTATTGTACAGAATCATTTAATTTTCTCTTTGGTAGTTTTTCAAAAAAGAAAATATGTATGTAGAATTTAATTTTTATGATTATTTAAAACACATTGATATTTCTACGTAGGGAATCATATTTTACACAACCTTTAAATTTGATAAGTGAGTAAAAATATTATTTTGTGGTTTTCTTGTGTTGCTTTAGATTTTTTTAATTTGCATAATCTAAAAATGTGCAAACCTTTTGCTACTACACCTAAACGTAAAGCTAAGAAAAAATTATTTTTATATTATTACATTCTACATTTATCACTGAAACAGAATATATATATATATATATATATATATATATATATATATATATATATATATGTACTGTACTTATATTCACAAATAAATGTTCTGTGGCTAAGTATATGGTACAAAAGGGCAAAAATATACCCGCCACTGGTGAATAAAATGACCGCCAGATCTAGGGTTAATGTTAAATTGCAACACATGCAAACCACACAACTAATATAACTGTCCCACAACAAAAACAGTCTATGAGAGACAAAAGGATTGTAGTACGACACTATAATCTCTTTTATCCGTTATTCATTTATCCGAGATTCTGGTTTATCCAAAAAAGGTTCTGCTTCAACCTAAATAAAAAAACTGTACGTAAAGCTAAAATTTACAAACACCAAGAATAAATTAAATAAGAACCCCTTTGCAAAGGAAACGCAACAACAACACACTAGCTCAAGTATTGCGAGTATTGCATTGACTTTCGAAAGGCTTTTTTTTTATTTTTATCTCGCCTCGAAGCTAAGTTAATCTTGCTGAACTCTTCAAACAAACAAGAATTTTTTTATATCGCAAATTTCACAAAGGTTTGAGACACATCCATCTCTATTCTGGTAATATTATGGTATTGGGTAAAAAATTAGCAATACATTTTGTGCCAAATTTGTTTAAACTATAATGTTCTTGGGTTTTAACTATTGAAGTAATTTATTAAAACCACAGTCATTCTTCAAAGACCTCACAACTGAAAAAAAAATTACACTTACCAACACCAGCCATTAGTGACTGGTCAGGCATCTCCAGGGGGTTGTATTCCTCCTTCCTGGTGGGGTCAGAGAAGGGTGACAGATGTGGAGGCAGGACACAACCCATCAGGTACTTCTCTACTGGGAGCTGTTCTCGGGCATTGATAGAGTCAAATACCCACTGTGGCTGAACATAATACCTAAACAACAGACACAGGACACAACCCATCAGGTACTTCTCTACTGAGAGCTGTTCTTGGGCATTGATAGAGTCAAATACCCACTGTTGCTGAACATAATACCTAAACAACAGACACAGGACACAACCCATCAGGTACTTCTCTACTGGGAGCTGTTCTTGGGCATTGATAGAGTCAAATACCCACTGTGGCTGAACATAATACCTAAACAACAGACACAGGACACAACCCATCAGGTACTTCTCTACTGGGAGATGTTCCCGGGCATTGATAGAGTCAAATACCCACTGTTGCTGAACATAATACCTAAACAACAGACACAGGACACAACCCATCAGATACTTCTCTACTGGGAGCTGTTCCCGAGCATTGATAGAGTCTAACACCCACTGTGGCTAAACATAATACCTAAACAACAGACACAGGACACAACCCATCAGATACTTCTCTACTGGGAGATGTTCCCGGGCATTGATAGAGTCTAACACCCACTGTAGCTACCATAATACCTAAACAACAGACACAGGACACAACCTATCAGATACTTCTCTACTGGGAGCTGTTCCCGTGCATTGCTAGAGTCAAACACCCACTTTGGCTCAAAATAATACCTAAACAAACACAAACATGGGACACAACCCAACAGGTACTTCTCTACCAGGAACGTTTCTCGAGCATTGATAGAGTCAAACACCCACACTGGCTGAACATAATACCTAAACAACAGACACAGCACACAACCCTTTAGGTACTTCTCTACAGGGAGCTATTCTCAGAGACATTGATCGAGTCAAACACCCACTGTGGCTGAACATAATACCCAAACAACAGACACAGGACGCAACCCATCAGATACTTCTCTACTGGGAGCTGTTCCCGGGCATTGCTAGAGTCAAACACCCACTTTGGCTCAACATAATACCTAAACAAACACAAACACGGGACACAACCCAACAGGTACTTCTCTACTAGGAGCATTACTCGAACATTGATAGAGAGTCAAACACCCACACTGGCTGAACATAATACCTAAACAACAGACACAGGACACAACCCTTTAGGTACTTCAATACAGGGAGCTATTCTCAGGCATTGATCGAGTCAAACACCCACTGTGGCTAAACATAATACCTAAACAACAGACACAGGACACAACCCATCAGGTACTTCTCTACTGGGAGCTGTTCCCAGGCATTGCTAGAGTCAAACAGCCACTGTGGCTGAACATTATACCTAAATACAAACACGGGACATAACCCGTTAGATACTACTCTACTGGGAAATGTTCCCGGGCATTGATAGAGTTTTTATAGTCTCTGTGGGTTTCAAGGTAGGATAATTTCATTAAAATCATATAGTGCCAAACAAGAGTCAAACACCTACTGTAGCTGAACATAATACCTTTGGCTATTAATACTCGTACACCTAAACAACAGACACAGGACACAACCCATCATATACTACTCTACTGGGAGATGTTCCCGGGCATTGATAGAGTTTTTATAGTCTCTGTGGGTTTCAAGGTAGGATAATTTCATTAAAATCATATAGTGCCAAACAAGAGTCAAACACCTACTGTAGCTGAACATAATACCTTTGGCTATTAATACTCGTACACCTAAACAACAGACACAGGACACAACCCATCAGGTACTTCTCTACTGAGAGCTGTTCTTGGGTATTGATAGAGTCAAATACCCACTGTTGCTGAACATAATACCTAAACAACAGACACAGGACACAACCCATCAGGTACTTCTCTACTGGGAGCTGTTCATGGGCATTGATAGAGTCAAATACCCACTGTGGCTGAACATAATACCTAAACAACAGACACAGGACACAACCCATCAGGTACTTCTCTACTGGGAGCTGTTCTCGGGCATTGATAGAGTCAAATACCCACTTTTGCTGAACATAATACCTAAACAACAGACACAGGACACAACCCATCAGATACTTCTCTACTGGGAGCTGTTCCCGAGCATTGATAGAGTCTAACACCCACTGTGGCTAAACATAATACCTAAACAACAGACACAGGACACAACCCATCAGATACTTCTCTACTGGGAGATGTTCCCGGGCATTGATAGAGTCTAACACCCACTGTAGCTACCATAATACCTAAACAACAGACACAGGACACAACCTATCAGATACTTCTCTACTGGGAGCTGTTCCCGTGCATTGCTAGAGTCAAACACCCACTTTGGCTCAAAATAATACCTAAACAAACACAAACATGGACACAACCCAACAGGTACTTCTCTACCAGGAACGTTTCTCGAGCATTGATAGAGTCAAACACCCACACTGGCTGAACATAATACCTAAACAACAGACACAGCACACAACCCTTTAGGTACTTCTCTACAGGGAGCTATTCTCATAGACATTGATCGAGTCAAACACCCACTGTGGCTGAACATAATACCCAAACAACAGACACAGGACGCAACCCATCAGATACTTCTCTACTGGGAGCTGTTCCCGGGCATTGCTAGAGTCAAACACCCACTTTGGCTCAACATAATACCTAAACAAACACGAACACGGGACACAACCCAACAGGTACTTTTCTACTAGGAGCGTTACTCGAACATTGATAGAGAGTCAAACACCCACACTGGCTGAACATAATACCTAAACAACAGACACAGGACACAACCCTTTAGGTATTTCTCTACAGGGAGCTATTCTCAGGCATTGATCGAGTCAAACACCCACTGTGGCTAAACATAATACCTAAACAACAGACACAGGACACAACCCATCAGGTACTTCTCTACTGGGAGCTGTTCCCAGGCATTGCTAGAGTCAAACAGCCACTGTGGCTGAACATTATACCTAAATACAAACACGGGACATAACCCGTTAGATACTACTCTACTGGGAGATGTTCCCGGGCATTGATAGAGTTTTTATAGTCTCTGTGGGTTTCAAGGTAGGATAATTTCATTAAAATCATATAGTGCCAAACAAGAGTCAAACACCTACTGTAGCTGAACATAATACCTTTGGCTATTAATACTCGTACACCTAAACAACAGACACAGGTCACAACCCATCAGATACTTCTCTACTGGGAGTTGTTCCCAGGCATTGATACGAATCAAACACCTACTGTGGCTGAACATAATACCTAAACAACAGACACAGGACACAACCCATCAGATACTTCTCTATTGGGGGCTGAGTGTATAATATCATTGACTATAAACATACCTCAAGAGTATATATAACCAATGGATGATCCTTATCCCTCAAAGTGTCGCCCACACCATATTGGGCGGGTTTTCTGATGCGTAAGAGTGTCACCCTCTGATGTAAGAGTGTACATTAGATACTTATGTACTGAAAGCTGTTCCCGGGCATTGCTAGAGTCTAACACCCACTGTGGCTAAACATAATACCTAAACAACAGACACAGGACACAACCCATCAGATACTTCTCTACTGGGAGATGTTAACGGGCATTGATAGAGTCTAACACCCACTGTGGCTAAACATAATACCTAAACAACAGACACAGGACACAACCCATCAGATACTTCTCTACTGGGAGATGTTCCCGGGCATTGATAGAGTCTAACACCCACTGTAGCTACCATAATACCTAAACAACAGACACAGGACACAACCTATCAGATACTTCTCTACTGGGAGCTGTTCCCGTGCATTGCTAGAGTCAAACACCCACTTTGGCTCAAAATAATACCTAAACAAACACAAACATGGGACACAACCCAACAGGTACTTCTCTACCAGGAACGTTTCTCGAGCATTGATAGAGTCAAACACCCACACTGGCTGAACATAATACCTAAACAACAGACACAGCACACAACCCAACAGGTACTTTTCTACTAGGAGCGTTACTCGAACATTGATAGAGAGTCAAACACCCACACTGGCTGAACATAATACCTAAACAACAGACACAGGACACAACCCTTTAGGTATTTCTCTACAGGGAGCTATTCTCAGGCATTGATCGAGTCAAACACCCACTGTGGCTAAACATAATACCTAAACAACAGACACAGGACACAACCCATCAGGTACTTCTCTACTGGGAGCTGTTCCCAGGCATTGCTAGAGTCAAACAGCCACTGTGGCTGAACATTATACCTAAATACAAACACGGGACATAACCCGTTAGATACTACTCTACTGGGAGATGTTCCCGGGCATTGATAGAGTTTTTATAGTCTCTGTGGGTTTCAAGGTAGGATAATTTCATTAAAATCATATAGTGCCAAACAAGAGTCAAACACCTACTGTAGCTGAACATAATACCTTTGGCTATTAATACTCGTACACCTAAACAACAGACACAGGTCACAACCCATCAGATACTTCTCTACTGGGAGTTGTTCCCAGGCATTGATACGAATCAAACACCTACTGTGGCTGAACATAATACCTAAACAACAGACACAGGACACAACCCATCAGATACTTCTCTATTGGGGGCTGAGTGTATAATATCATTGACTATAAACATACCTCAAGAGTATATATAACCAATGGATGATCCTTATCCCTCAAAGTGTCGCCCACACCATATTGGGCGGGTTTTCTGATGCGTAAGAGTGTCACCCTCTGATGTAAGAGTGTACATTAGATACTTATGTACTGAAAGCTGTTCCCGGGCATTGCTAGAGTCTAACACCCACTGTGGCTAAACATAATACCTAAACAACAGACACAGGACACAACCCATCAGATACTTCTCTACTGGGAGATGTTAACGGGCATTGATAGAGTCTAACACCCACTGTGGCTAAACATAATACCTAAACAACAGACACAGGACACAACCCATCAGATACTTCTCTACTGGGAGATGTTCCCGGGCATTGATAGAGTCTAACACCCACTGTAGCTACCATAATACCTAAACAACAGACACAGGACACAACCTATCAGATACTTCTCTACTGGGAGCTGTTCCCGTGCATTGCTAGAGTCAAACACCCACTTTGGCTCAAAAT